TGTTGAAACAAAAAAAAGGGCCATAAGGCATCAAGTTCAATTTACTCTCTCAGAAGTTCATAGAGTACAAAGGTCAGAACAAATCTCATCTTTAGATTGAAATGATGTTTGGTATATCCAAAGCTCTATTTCTTTCAACACTAGTTTACCACTGTCAAAAGGATTAAACAATCCCAAACTCGACTCATTTGCTAAGCGAAGCAAAAAATGGAAACTGGATCCGAACACAGATCCAAGCTAAATGTTTTTCACTTGTAGACATGCGGTCAGAATGCAGCACTGGCAAACACGCAGCAGAAACTGCATCAGTTACATCTGTGTACACTCAATGTGCTGTGGATGAAACTATCTACCAATCAGCAAGCGTTACAGGCCTTTTACGGCTCACACACGAGGAATTCTGGTCAGCAAGTCACACAGATAATGGTGCGGAACCTGTCCGTACAGCGGGAGGCAATATTGGTGTTGTCCACACTGCTGACAGTAGTTCCAACGACCTGTCTCACCGGGGGTCTGGCCCACACACAGCTTTAGTACAGTCCAAGCATGGAGAAGGTAAACAGCGATGCAGCTCTTGCCTCCCCCACGCAGCGTGTCGTCTCACCACAGACAGAAAGAAAAACAATGAAAACCAAGTGATGATCCGTGTGAAGGTTTGGACGAGACAACTGTTCGTGTAGGTCATGACAGGTAGCCAGTACAATACTGTTCAAGTCCTCATTTACTGGACATCTGTTCTGTTCTCGTGATCGTCATGCAGTTTCTCTCACCATTTGAAGTTGCAGTAGAGTATATTTACAAGAAAGAAAAGTTTTTGTCATGTTTGCTTAAACTGTCACTATGAGCTGAAAGTAGTACATGAGGCAGATAATAAAATCTAGTTCCTCTGGCTCCATCTGTAAAATTCTCATGTTCTCTCTCTCAGGCAGGTACCTGTTTATGAACTTTATTATTACTGATACTTCTACTTCATCACCTTTGAGGCAGCCACCCCAAACTAAACTTCTGAAGCAGCTGCTGCCTGAGCACATTTCATTTACCTCTTAGCTGCATCGAGAAGATTTTTCAAATGTTCCAATTCAGCATCAAAGGTGACGTCTCTGATTTACCAACCTGGCACTCCTGTAATCTTGTAATCGGCTGCATCAGTAGCCACTGCTCCAACAAGACACCCACAGTCTGTCATCCTGATCTCCATGACAACAACGGCCCCTGAGAACGTTCTGGCTCCTGAGAGTTCAGAGGAAGAACAAAAGGAAGTTTTGTAGTTAGACTCACACTGTCAACATGCACATAAACATTCAAGTTATAAAAAAGATGCTTCATGATTATAGACTATATATAAGAATGGATGATATGACAGCTCCCCAAAAGTGCAGCCAAAGCATCTTTATTGCCCCCTGGTGGCTGGCTGCTGTATAGGTCATAAATCCTGCCTCATCCATGTTAGTGGATGGGACATTGACCAAATCAAAATGTCAAAGTACACGTCAAATAAATTTGCCTCAAATGATCGAGCACGTGTATCGAAGGGACCCTTTGTACACAATCTATGCTCATAACTAACACATCATATTTGTGTGACATTTCTAGTGATACCAGGAATGTGCAAATTGATTTTTCCGTATATTTATTTGTATGTGTTGTATACATTAATGTTATTTAATTAATTTTATTTTGACAAAGGATTTAAGTAAGCCACCAACTTTCAAAATAAAGTGCATCATTTATTTAATTCTTAGTGTCCTCAGGCATACAGTGTCCACAAAGTGCACCTTATTTCTGTTAGTTGTTGTGTGCGCTAATATGCTTTTAACAAAGACAAATAGGTCAAACAACAAGGTCTAAAGGGCAAAAAACAGGAAATCGCCTGACGCAGAATGTCACTCGTTTATGCCACAAGACTGTTTCTGTTCCTTTGACACCTCTGTAATTACAACTCATAAATTACACTGCTGTGCCTGGCAGGCAAGAGTTAACCTGGCGGGAGAGTTTAGGGGGGTCTGCAGTGTGTGGCTGTCTGTGTCAGAGAAGACATAGAACTGACAGATAGAAGTAAAGTCAAGCTACAGGAAGAATGTTTGATGATCAGCGCATCAAGATGAGAGGATGGAGGAGACGGAGAGGTGAAGACATGTTAGTAAAGGAGAGTTATTGCAGATAAGGAGAGCTGGGGTTGGTGGGTTGTGGGCTTCATGAGGCAGAATGATTGAACATGCAGCTTTCGAACATGTTTGAGTAATCCTCGCAAAGCAACAAGCTTTGTCTTAATGTGAGGAATTTGACTGTGCGCCTCATGTGTGGGAGCTTTCGCCTGTGTAGGATATTGAGAGAAAATGTGCATGTGTTAAGCATGAGCTCATATGTATCTCTGCATGTCTGTTTCTGCATGTGTGTGTCAGAGTTTCGGTTCAAGTGAGAGGCAATCAAGCAAAGTTTGTGTACCTAGGCAAGGCATGAAGAGTCTGGGGTAGGACTCCGACTTTGTTTCCCACAATGCTGCTATATCTGTGTGTCTGTCTCACCCACACACTGACACAGAACCCCCACAGACTGAAAGCTATTCCTTATGATCTACGTTCAAGGGTAAAGACCGAAATCTTAAGCACAACACCCCCCCTCCTGAAATTCCACACTCGTTCTTCTAATCCCGTGCCATCCCATCGACAATCCCGTTTCCTCCCTTCTAGCTGTTCGGGGATAGATCCGTGGCTCAGACAGAAAAACATACATTGCTTCCACAAAGCTGGACACACAAACACACACTCCCCTCTCTTCAGACTTCCTCCGCCCCTCCTCACTCTCCCTCAGCTGACCCTTCTCACCTTTTGCTCTTTGTTTGCTTGTGTGATCCCCAAAATTCTCACTCCTCCCCACTATTAACTCACTCCCCAGTCAGTTGTTTGACCTTTGACCCCTCCTTTTCTTTTTTGTCTCAGTTCTTTTGTTTTAGTAATATAAGAAGAACGCACATATATTTTAGGTAGACATAAAGAAAGTGGGAATTCAGCATAATTGCTGTAATCTTGAACCTGTTGATTGAATTTATTGATATGAAAACACCTGTCTAAGGCATGATGAAGAAGACAAGGTGTATAGAAATGCAACTAGACACGTTTACATGGACACATATTCCAATATTAACCTGATTAAGACAATAGTCTGAATAGGACACCGCTATGTAAACAGCACTTTGTGATTAATTTAGCAGATTGAAGCCATACTCAAAATTAGCAATAATCAAATGAAGACATGGAGTATTCTGACCTATACATTTTGTAAACATGTATACGTCACAAATGCATTTTAGCATCTTACTATATATATGTTGCTCGTACCTTAAAGGATGACAAAGCATAGTGTGTTCATTTTCTCAACAGTTGTTTTGCAAGCATGCCCTACCAGTGCCACTCATCTGTTTTTGAAGGGATTTGTTTGAGAAAGACCAGTTGACCCCCTTTGAGAAATGGAGTGGTGTGTAAACACTTAGAGCAGATTAGGTTGGAGAATGCCAGAGGTGAAGGCAGGGGAGGAGAGTGTGTGTGTGTGTGTTGGGTATTGAGGGACAAAGGGGTTAAAGATAAATTATAGTGGAAGCAGAAAGCTGAAGCTGTGAGGTGAGGATCAATGTCAAATGTTGACATTGAGAAAGGGAGGACATGACCTTGACCTTCCCTGGCCTTATTTTAATAGAAGAGCAATGCAATTGAATTGTTATTGAAACTTGTCTTGAGTTTGAACTCAAGAAACTGTAAAGTACAGTTCAGGAGAAGAGACAGAATGACAACTTAGGAGAGAATAATTTCTATTTCATTTAAAAAAAACTGTGGATAGAGAGGTTGCCACTAATAAGCTATAGTGGCAACCTTAAGAGGTTGATGCTGGTGCAGTGTCACTAAACTTTGAGAGAATGGAGTTGGGAAACTTAATATCTGTAGTGAGGTGAATGTGCAATGACACAGGATGTGTCAAGTTATGCTCTCTTTAAAATACCCCAACAAGAAACTTCATAACTGTGTTCCAGACCTAACAAGTCAAAAATGTACCCACAGCAAGAGAGGCATTAAGGATGTGGTCTCACAGCACCTGATACATACACAGCAGAGTCCAAAAATGACATCTGCATGCCTCTATACGAAGATCAACAACACAAGAGAGGCCCAAGTTACCTTCCTCCTCAGTTGTGACCGGCTCATACCAGACTTCAACAGAGCATATTTTGTCTTCTTACAGTGATATTTGTGATCTGTGGTTTTCCTGTCGTGAAGTCGAGAGCTTTAAGCATAAACCAGAAACACAAGTTATGGACATGCTGGAGTCAAGACCCAACCAACAAGTGGCTGAATGAGACTAAAAATGCAACTAAACTCCGTATTTTGTTGATTACCAAATCCTTGTGTTGGTATAAGGAGTCACAAACAAAGTGTAATGTGCACCCTTTACAAGCCTGGTGTTCCTGTTACCAGCAGGTAGCTTTCCGCCCTCGTCCATCATCTGCTCTATTTCCAAAACCTGATGTTAAAGCTATGCATATAAAAGTCTTGGTTTCCAGAGTGCTGCCAGAGTAAACTGGGTGGTATATGGTTGAGAAACATTTCCTTCTTCAAGAGAGAGGGTCCCAGGTCCCTGTTTGTGATGGAACAGTCCAGCTCTTGCCAAGTGCCAACCATTTCTTAGGCCTCTTTGTGGCTTCGAGGAACACTTCAAAACACCACAAGTTATCTTTGGACCAGAGAAGACCTGTGGCACACACGACTATCACCATCAACCTACACCCCATTATAGGCTACTCTATTTTACTAACCCTATACACCTTACGCAATCTCCCACCTTGTGCTTTCCGTCTGTCTGTCTGCTGCCAGTTTACACACCTTTCTCCTTCTCCTCTCCTCTACCCATGTGGCAGTGCCAGCCTCCGCACCTTCCATCTTTCTTTCCTTCCTTCCTTCTCTCCCCGGCCATCCCACAGTGTCACCACTCCATCAGTCTTGTCCGGCCGAGCTGTCAGGATGAATGGCAGTGCTGCCTGCCAGATACGTGCTGCTTCATAAACATGGCAGATAGCTGGGGCCTGCTGTGTGGCCTTTGCAGTGGATAAAATATGCAGAAAGAAAGTTATTTATTGCTCTGTAGCACAAACTGAGTGTAATTTACTAAAGTTGCAGGTAGTGGAAACCACAGACTTAATGAATATCTCATCAGGTGCTGGCATTTGCTCCTCTGGGATGGGGGCAGATTAACAGAATGTGAGCTTTGCTTCACGTCACCAGCACATTTTTAGGTAAAATTTAGTTCTAATGATACAACTTAATTAAATGTCTCCATTTCTACACTGGATACATACAAATATAATCAGTATATAAAATATAAATTTTCTATAACACTTTATAACCAAGTTGCACACTAATATAAGAATGTATTAAGCTAAAACCTCCCTTAAAGCAACACCAGGTAATTTTAATAACTTTTAAAATCATTTTGATGGTACACAACCTTATAATTAGGAGAATAGTATGTCTGTCATTGCCACAGTTCTTCATGGAGGCCTAGAAGGACACTATGTAACTCTGTTGTACTGTGTTGGAACATGACGTGCTTTACGACAAAAATCTCACACCAACAACAGCAGGTAGCTATAAGAGACAACTATTTCCTGTGTGGACGTCAAGGCAGAGCCATCAAAGAAACAGATGTTGTCGGACTAAACAAGGTTGAGAAAACAACAGAGTAAGATACTGACCAAGGGTGACTATCAAAGCATATTTCACTCATTGGTGAGAGCTAAAAGACCGTGAAGGATACAGGACAGATGCCACCCTGACCTTGTTATTAGACAATTAAATCATGTGTCTTGTGCTGTTCTGTTGTGAAGAGAGGCCAGGTAAACCAGGTTTACCAAACTAGTTAGCCAAACAATTTGACTTGCTTACTGTGTGAGCATCATTTGTGTAAAATGTCAATCAACATGAGTCTCACATTGTCTCGCTTCAAGGTTCCTTCTTGACCTTGAGAAATAATGGGTCCACAACAGAATTTTCTGCTTCTCCAATGCAAACCCCAGTCCAACTTCCTGCTCCTCTCTCACTCCTGTACTCGCCGCAGTGTACAACATACAATATTTTCACAGGAAATAGGAAGGAGTGAGGTCTGAAGAAAATACTTCTGAAAATCTTCGTTGTCTATTTTCCTTGTGTCAGGTGGTCATGTGTGTGCGCGAGTACGGTGCCTTGAAACAATATTATGATTTGGTTTTGCAGTTATTTTTAGTTGCCTTTTCCTGGTTTGTTTTTTTCGACATGTATGGTGCACGTTGTTCCACAGAAAAACTCTGATTTCTTTTCTGTAAATAATGAAAAAGGGACTTGAATTATACTGTATGTTATTTTGCTATGATGAATGTGGCTTCGTTTTTTCCCCCCTCCTCGTTTAATGGAACACGTGGGGCATTCAGGATAATATACATGACCTGGAAAGTACACATTCATATTTGGAGAGCATTTAAAAAAACCACAATCAGTAATAAGTTGTAAAACCTGCTCGGAGAAAGAGCAGGAACAGAAACAATATACAAGGCTGACACTATATAAATTTTAGCTCGAAGCAGTGATGAACCTCAGGTGTTACACCCACTTACATTTCACTGTGTTTCATAAGACTTAACCATTACGTTGACTTCCAGTGTATTGTTATCATTAAAAGAACATTTGCATGAACTTGAATCTGAACTTCATATGCTTCATACAAACAAATTGCAGCAATTATTGAAATCAAAATTTCCTCATTAATGACTGCAGATAGGAGCATCATGAGTCACGAGGGGATTCCTCTCCTCTAACCAAAACATCCCTTTCGGTGGACCGTTGGCAGCTAAGTGATCCAGAATATTCTCCTCTGATTAGACAGAGGTTGCTTTCACAGCAGCTCCCATGGTGCTGCTGTAGAGAGTGTAAATAGAGATCCGCAGACCCAGTTCAGCTCCCAGATTCTTACTGACAACCTTGTTCCATTGGCAAGAAAAACTGATGATTAATACCCCTGCAACACTCGGTAACTAATTCAGGAACGCACATTCGGACATGCTCCAGGAGCAAATACTCTGTATTTATGTAAATAAAATGATTTACAGTTGCAGTTTGGTTTAGAGCTAGAATTAGAGGCAGAGTTCTCAAGGTGTTGTTTAACGTGACAAAAGTTGCCAAGAGGCTGTGATTATGTCCGCAGCTCTGATGTGGTTGTGTCTTGAAACATCAAGGACCAATAATCATGAATGTCAACAAGCACAAGGGCAGTTTGATTCTAGAGCAGAATCGCTCCAATGGGATTCTAGGATGGCACTCAGAAGAGTGCACACCTCTTGCGCAACTCATGTTCACAGATGCAAGGATTTTATTGAAGAACTGCACCAAAATGCAATCATAGATATAAGTCCCCTTGCGATATTAAATCCATTTGATCTGATCTGCACCAGAATTTCATGGGCTCTTTCTTGGCCCATGTGACATCCTTTCACCAAGTTTAGTGGAAATCCAATTCTTTAGTTTTACGTGATCCTGTTGACCCAGTATCAGCAGCTGGAGAGCGAGCACCAGGAGTCTCTGCCAGCTTCCCCCCATAAACACATTCAGACTCAAAACATTAGTGCTTCCTGTTTTTTCTTCCCCAATCACACTTCATCATTCAGCTCAGGCTGTTACCTGTCTCATACCATGCAGTCTGATCCCTGGTTTGACATTGTTGCTCGACAGGTGGCAACTTCCAACCCTCTTCCGTATGTGCTTAATTTGTGCATGCTCACTGTAGTTTGGACTCTGGAGATGGCCACTCTGCAGAATCCTGCAAAAGACCTTTCGGCAGCTGGGCTCCATCTCCTGAACACATGCATGTCCCACCACTGTGTGAGCGTGTGGCCTGGAGGGTGAAAGGCGGCAGCCATAATGGTGGTCTGCTGTACGGGCTCATTAAGCGAAGCCCACAGAGACCTTTGTACCTGTTAAGCAGAGTAGCTGAGGCCACTCGACAAACCCAGTCATATATGAAACCTGAGGTGCACCGTGGATTATGCACAAGCGTGACTGCTTCACCAAATGAAAATGTAGGTTTTGGCCTGGACGTAAGAACCATTTTCATTATTACTCTTTTTTTTTAATCCCCTCTGCCCCAGTCCTCTACCTAATTCCCCAATGTACATGGAGCTTGGATACTATAAAAAGGCTTTGTGTTCTCAATAATTGCTTAATAGTTGCATAAAATGTCATTAACTGCTCCTACTGGTTAGGTTACATCCACTCCAGCTACCAGAGGGACTGGGGGCGCTCACCCCACATCCTTCACTTCTCTGACCCCCTGCCTCTGTTTCCTTTTGTCATTTTTATGCAAGGATCTTCTCATATTTCCACCATTCCTTCTCCTCTGTTCTTCTTCAAACCCCTTTTCTTCAGCCTTTTTTCCCCCACTCTCACAGGGCCCTCCTTTCTCCCTTCCACTCATCCATTCCTTCTTCCATCCGTCACCGTCCACCGTGTTAGCGATACACCCCTTGACAGGTGAGACATCTGCAGCTCCCTCATCTGTCAATCTTCAGCACATGGGTCAGTCAAAGGGCCTCGTGCAGCCACGGCACATCCAGATCCAAACCCTGTCTACCCGGCCGCGTATCCCATCACCCATCACTCTCAGACGCTAAAGGGGGAAGAAGAAGAAGGCCTCGGCTTCCTGCATGAGGTCATCACTGCGCTGCGGCGTCCCACCCGCAGGCAATTTATGCCTTCCGCTACTCACAAGCTCCTTGCGCCATTCTTATTTCAGGTCCATTAAAAATAATTGGTATATCGCTCCAGAATAAATGTTGAGGGGGAAACTGCGGCAGGTCATTCCAGCTTAGTTCAACACATAAAGGGGATGGCGAGCATCAGCGTGTGGTGTAAAAGTTCACAATGTATTTATTTTTTCCCCCTATCACTTATCCAAATTGGCGGTCAGTATTTGCTCTGTTCATGATCGCTTCCAGTGGATCATTTTCTGAAAAGGATATGTCTTAACTTTGGTGTCGAACGCTGCCAGCTCGCAGTAGAGAGCACGTTGAAAGCATTATTCTCAACACTGTGGAGTCCCCCCCTCCCTCCCCCTTAATCCAGCACACTAATGACGTTAATGAAAAAATAATTCTAATCTCATTAGCACATCTCTTCAACCGGTCTCATTTCCCTCTTAGGGTTTGATTAATCTGTGAAATAACTTTGCAGCCGATTCTGTGGGAGCATCGTCAGGGTAAGAATTTCAACCTAAAAAAACAGACAGTAGTCTTTTGGAAATTTGGTTTTGAATATAAAGAACTGCCTGTATTTTCTACTGTGTCCATTTGCCACTGAAACTAATAAGTAGTGCTGTTTGTCCCAACACACCCTACTTGTCAATTACAGCCTCTGAAACATTATTTAGATCATTGCTGACGATGTGAAAACTACTGAAAACTACTGGAATTGTTTTAGCGATGTTTTTTCTGTAAGGCAGCGTGACCAACCACACCCACTAAATGGCCGAGACACCGCAGGACACATTGCTGTCTTTAAACGAATGATGTTACTGCTTATTTGCTTAATAAAAAGCCAATACTGACCTCAATTTTAAAATAAATGTCTTTCAAATAATATGTGATTTTTTTTGGTTGAAAGGAATCCTTACTACAATCCCAAAAATCATCAATCCCAGAGCTTATGATTCAATATTTTGCATTTCCATGAATGCAGTTTTCACTGGGTGAAAATAAATATATGCCTATTGTGTATTAGCTTTTTCTCCATGTGGTGACTCCAGCATAAATCCAACTGTTGCATGATTAGCACTCTAACAGCTTTTTTTGGTCACCATCCAATACACGTCTATTTTTTGCCATGGTAACGGAGCAAACACACAACTGTGTGGGAGTTGGGACGCAGCTGAAAACTCTTAACAGAGGCAAAGAAGAGGGACAGGGAGTGGGACTGATATTCAGCTGCTCGGCATCGTAGGATTCATGAGGTTCTGCGATGTACTCTGGCAGGAACATCTTGTAACTGTTATTATGTTTGTTTTCATGCTTTGACT